AGCATAATGCTTTTAAAATCCATCCATTTTGTTGCACATGCCAACTGTTCATTCTTCTTATTGCTGAATAGGATTCCAGTTTATGTTTTAATAGAAATTCTTTTTAAAAATTATTTTATTGGCAGTTTTTAAATAGCTGAAAATTGTTCTGTGTCAGTGAGAAACTAAGGCCAATAAACAGAAATTTCTTATACCCAGAGCAAAAGCTGTCCAATGTTGGTAGAGCAATCTCTTTCCATTGATATTTTAGAAGAGATTTATGAAATGGTTAGAATTTGAATAACTGGAGGTTTTCTAACTGTGTTTCTTAGAGGCCCTCACTTATCACTTGGAGTCTCTTTTCCTCATGGCAAGACGGACTATGGAGTGACATCTGCCCTCTTCAGCTCCTCTTTCCCAGCTAACCCTGAAAGCAGGCACAGGGCTCTTCATTTTGAGGACCAGGCTGGAAATCTTTGGTGAGAAGCAAGCAGGGGGAACCAAGAGTGTGTTGGAGGCAGAGATTCTGAAATCCCATTAAATACTTACAGCCAATGTATGCAGTCTGGAGTTTGGATTATTTTTTAATAAACCTAAAGAAAGTCCCAAAGAATTCTTGCTCTCCTTCTTTCCTCAACTGAGAATTTCTCAAACTTTCCCTCTTCTTTAGACCCCAGACTTACTACTAGATTCAAAAGCAACTTCACCCTTGAAGGCTTTCCTTGCAAGCACCTGCCCTGAGTTAGAGGTGGACAGTGAGCATAGGGTCAGCCCCTGGCTGGCCTTACTCACAGCAAGGCAACTGACCTCCAGATATCTCCCCGCTGGCCCCCAGGAAAGGGAGTAGTATGTAAGTCACCCGAAACAGCCTTCCTAGGAGAATTATTTTTGCCTTTAGATCTGGTTGTCTTGAGAAATAATTCTTATTCTGTAAAAACTTGTCTTATTTGTAAACTAATAAGAAAAATTAGCACAAATTGTTGTAGAAACAATAATCCTATTTATTGCTTTACCTTGCTTGCTTCTTCCTGCAGCTCTTATGCTGAAAATGTGTCTATTCCAGCATTAGCTGTATTGTTACAAACTTTTATTCTGATTTACAGAGAGCTGGGTGCTGCAGTCTGTGCCAAGAATTTGCATAGATTCCCCCTGCTGACCCTCCACCAACCTTATTAGGTGGATAATATTTTGATCCTATTTTAAAGATGATTCTCTGAGACAGACATTGTTTGAGAAACATTTTGACTCCAGGGGAACCCTCACTGGCTCTCAGTTCCCTCATCTGCAAACTGAGGGGTGGGCCTGAGCAATTCCTCCCACCTGTGATGTCCTCATGTCCTTCACTGGAATCGCATGGGCGTTGTGGCTAGATGCAACATTTGGTTCCTGGCCCTTTGAGACAGTGGTTTCACTACTAGTCTGAGGGCTAAGAAAGAAATTCAGTCACCTGCTAAGTAGCCTTGTCTTGTGCCCTCCCCCTTCAAATCTCCTTTGTTGCCCTCTTCTCTTCACAACTCTTTTCATTCCTGGCAAGGTCAAATGTTACATGATAAAAGACCAAAGAAAGAAACGGCCTCAGGAAGGAGGAAATTGCTCTCCACCCAAATCCTATTACAGTACTGGGATTTCCCTGGGCTCGGAAATTCTCTTTCACACACACACAAATCAATATTTAATCCAGGATGTTCTATGTATTTTTTCTGCTATAAACATTTCTCATGTTAGTCATAGTTCTTAATCTGGTCTTAAGGACAAATTGAGGTACTTGTGAAATACTAATTAGAAAGGAACATAAAACCAGTTCACTGTTACAGGGAAACTCACCTTGGATTACATCAGTCTCTATAATCTGATAACTCCCAGGAGAGTCCCACGTGGGGGGTGAGGCAGGAGAGCTTGCGTCATGGTCCACAGCTTCCGGGGGCCATTTTTATCCTTTAATTCGAGGTCACAGCAGAAGTAATAACCGATTTCTCTTTGTGCTTTTGGAATTCTGACCCACTCAAGGTGAAGGCTACACTTTAAATGGTGAGATTTCCTTCGAGTGTAACAGAAGGTGATGGAGCCAGCACGCGGCTACCTGGGCCAGGACCTGCCACTGCACCTTCGGTGCCCCTGCTTTTCGCAAATTCACTTTGATTCTCAGGGCCTCATTTTTCATCTCTAGTGTTCTGTGACCTGAAAGACGTTGAATTTATTTTATTCATCACTCAACGTTTGTTGAACCCACTCTGACTTCATTATAGGATGTGAAAATTAAACGGTGATGTTTGTGGGAGGGATCATGCAAGCTCTGTAATTATTTCGTGGTAGATTTACCTGTTGACAACTGTTACCTCATGTTCACAATGTTCTATAATTTGTAAAATAAAGGAATTGGGATTTTAAAAAATCTAATAGGTTCTGTAAATTTCTAATGAGGAAAAATTTGCCCCATTTTACTTTTATTTCCTCTTGGATATACTAAAAGTAATTGGACATCTAGTTACTTTAACAAGCTTTCAGGAACTTGTGAAATGATTTCCTATTTTATTTTAAATCAGTAGTTTCCTACTGATTAAAAATAAATTCCTGCTGAATTTGAGATTAGACGTAGACAGTGCTGATTTCAAAGGTCATGAGAATGTGTTCTCTTGTTTACTAGTAAAAAAATATTTTTTTCTCCTATACATGATATACATATATGAAGTTAAGGATAATATAGCAATTTTATCATCATTTTCAAATTAGAATTATGTATTGTGCATTTTCCCATGCCTTGAGGTTAGTCTGTGGATCAGAACCACTAGGAGGTGTGGGTTAAAATGCAGATTCCTGGGCAGTCTCTAGACAACGGATGGGAGGTGACCCAGAGTCTGTATTTTAACAAGCTCCCTCGGTGGTCCATCAGCACAGTCAAGTCTGACCACCTCTGCAGGAGTTGATTTCTAGGAGCAGCATTTTTAAAGACAAAGGAAATCCTTTCAAAAACGTATGCTGTTATGCATTTAACTATTCTCCTATAATTGCATATCTATATTGTTCCTGTATTTTTCTCTTTTGGATTGTTGCTCTGATAGATGTCGTTTATACATTTTACATCTACTATTATCTTCTAGGAATAAAATTACTCAAAGCTAAAAAAAAATTAAAGGCAAATAAAAAAAACTGGGCAAGATATTGCTTATAAATGTGACAAAGGGATACTATGTTTAAAACATAAAGAAGACAATGAACAGCCCAATAGAAAACCAGACAAAGGCCCTGAGTATCCACAGTCCTCCTTCCTGCATCCGGACCCCATGTCAAGGTCTCTGACTTCTCTCCTTGGTGTCCAGTGGGCATCCCGAACTTGGGTGTCACTGATGCCTCCACAGCTGTCCTTCTCTCATGAGGAGGAGGTGCCACCTTCCACTGCTACCTTGGAAGTCCTCCAAGCTGCCCTCTCCCTAAAGCCCCCTGTCCTCATGGTACCCATGATTTGTTCTAATCAATTGTGTAAGACGTGCAGACATGGAAATGACATCTATGAGTCCCCTGCTGTCTCTAGGAATTGGGTTGCCCCAGGACAGCTCCCTCCAGGATCAGCGGTCAGCAAGGCCCAGATATCAAAGTGTTACCTGGTAGAGATCCAATGCCTGATATACACAGAAGCCAATACCATGGCACCAGCTTTTGAGAAAAGTAAAGATTTTATTGTGAGGTCGACCAGCAAGGAGACAGTAGGCAAGGCTCTTAAGTCTGTCTCCCTGATCCAAGGTTCGGAGTGAAATTTAAGGAGTTAGAGCTACTAAGCTGTGGCTGAGCCCATGTAAGCTGATTGGCTACTCTCAAATCAGTAATCAAGCTATTGGGCTGCTGGAAGCCTAATTTTCCTTATTGAAGGCCAGGGTCAGCCTGGGGCTATTGGTTCCCGCCTTGCACATGCTCAGTGCTGTCTCTGTTCTTGAACAAGGTTTGATTCACCAACAACCTGTTTGAAGGGAGCCAAACTAGTCTAAGCTGGGCAAGGTTTTATGTGCTGTTTCAAAAGTCTCAGAATACAGAAAATAAAAGACATAGTTAACACACCCCACGTTCAGTTCATGAAAGTTCCTCTCAGTTCACTTCTAGAATGGACTCCAGTCTATCTACTTCCTCTTTCTCCAAAGCCTTTCTCCAAAGCCAGGTGGTCCCTGGTGAAGCCTGTCCCAGCTGCCCATTGCTCTTGGTGTCCAAGCATAGTCCTTCCCATGACTGACTGGGCTCTGTGTCCTGTGGCCACTCCCCACACCACACAAGTCTCTCTCTCCCTCTCTCTCTCTCCCTCTCTTTCCTTCTCTCTTCTTTTCTTCTCTCTCTCCCTTTCTCTCTCTCTCTCTTTCCCTCCCTCTCTGTGCGTATCTGTCTTTCTCACTCCAGCTCCCCTCACCTCTGGGCCTTTGCATGTGCTCCCTCTAAGCAGCCCACATCCCGCACCCCACACTTCTTCCCATTGCCCCACCATTTTGTTTTTCAGGTTTCAACCCAGCATGGCTGCCTCTCAGGCCTTCCATGTGCACCTTCTCTACAACAGACTTTTCCACTCACTCCTCTCTCATCACCCGCTTGGTTTTCCTGGTAGCATTTACCTCAACCCACAGTTATGAGGCATATCTGTTCATTTATCCCCTTTCTCCTCTGTTTGCAGGGACAGGGTCTGTTCTGTTCACTGGTATGTTTATTCCCAGCACCTTGCACAGGGCATGCTGAATGACATATGTTGAGTCAGTGAAAAAAAATGAAATGACTAACAAACACAAAATAGTTGAGCTTTACAGATAATAAAGAGATTGAGAACAATTTTCTAATTTTAAATTGGCAGAGGTTTTTTTCAGTAATAATTTCCATTCTGACGGAGGGTCAAGTAAAATGGGCTCTTAAGGGCAGTTGGTGGAAACATAAATTGGGACAAGTTTAGTTGGAAACACTCTGGCATCGGGTATCAAGAATCTTAAAATCCCTGAGGAAATGTGTTCCTGGAAAAGAGTTCTACTTGTGGTATTTATTCCATTTACTTGAAGTTCTTCTAGGTTCCAAACGGCAGCTGGCCATCACAAGAAGCTCAATGACCTGGCCTTCTTAAAGGAGATGCAGGACCTTGCTGAAGAAATTAATGAAATGATGGACAAGGCAAAAAACTTGCAAAAACTTTGGGTGGAAAGATCCAAGACTCCAGGCAAGTGAACCTGTCCTAACTGTCAACCGCCTGCCTGGACACAGGCCAGGTGGGGCCCCAGGGGCTGTGAGGACCCAGAATGTCTTTAAAATCCTGTTCACAGTTTAGCATCCTTACTGCACTAGGCTGTCGTTGTGGACCTTAGAATAAGGGGCCCCCTCCATGGGTGAGGCACAGCCACTGGGGTGGGTTGTGAAGGTGGGGCAGATTTCCACCACCTCCCTGGGAGGGCACCTTGGGCACGGCCTTCAGAGGGGCTGCAGCCCATGCTTGCTTTATCTCCCAGGGTCCACTTTGACGTCTCCTTCTATTTCTTCTGTTGCTACCTCCCTTTCTCACTCCCTCTTCCTCTGTTTTTAAAATCTGTCCCCACGTTATACATGCACATGCACACACACACACACACACACACACACACACACTCCTGATTCCTTTCCTCCTTCTGGTGGATTTGGGTTTGTCTTTCTGTATTAGTAACACTTTAATTCTGGTCTTGATGATTAGCTTGCTTTCATGACAAACTTTTTAGATTGTTGGGGCTGATTATTTCTGTTCATTATGAAGCACGTCCACATTCTAAGAAGCTTCAACTCTTCTTTGTAAATATTTGGTAAAGAAAGTTAGAATGGATGTAGGTCTTAGCGAGCTTGGTTTACAAATGGAGAAGCTTGGACCTCGGTGGGGGGCTGCTACTTACCTGTCTTCACATGGCCGGATCATTGCCCAAACTGCGTCTACAAACTGGGCTACAGTGATCTGCCCTTTTTTTTTTTGTAAACACTATCGCATCCATAGCTGCCACATAAAATACAGGGTATTCAGTTAAATTTGAATTCAGGTAAACAACAAATAACTTTTTACTATAAGTATGTCCCAAATATTACATACTTATAGTAAAAAATATTATTCATTGTTTAGCTAAAATTCAAATTGAACTGGACATCTTGTGTTTTTATTTGCTAAATCTGGCGGCCCTAAGTCCCCACCTAAAATTTTTCTTTTCATGTACATATTTTTCTCTTCTTGGAGTATATACAAGAAAATGGAATGAAAAGTTTGGCAAAAAAATGAATAATGAGCTTGTAGGGGAGGAAGAAGTTTTGCTCTGACCTTGTAGGTTCTTCTGGCTGGTCTAAGAATTAAATTGACATGAGACAGAATAACAGGAGAAAATTGAACAAATTTTAATAACATGTTTCTATGGGAGGAACCCAGAAAAACTGAATAACTCACCAAAATGGACAAAGCCACCACCTTAAATACCATCTTCAGCTAAAGACAAAGTAGGATGTTGGGGGTAGTGGTTTGGGACTACAAAGGGTAGGAAGGCAATTCACATAGAGATGGAAAAGCAAATGTTTGGTAAGAAATATTTGCCATGCTTTGCAGAGACAATGGGACATGGAAAGGATTTTGATCAAACGGGTCTTGTTAGGTTCCTCCCTGTCTACCACACCTAGTTCATATTATACTATAGTTATCTACGGTGATAACTCCTTCCTGGAACAAGCCTTCTATCTTAAATTCTTTTAGGTAGTTAGAAGGAAGGTCAAAGTTTCTTCCTGAGTCTTTTGTTCTTAAAAATAATCAAGCTAAAGAGACACATTTTTGGGGTAGCAAATTCTGTTCCCATACAAGCTCCTCAGAGGAGGTAACATGATGTATTATTTCTGAAAGAAAACAGCACCTTTGTCCAGGGTGGGGCAAGGCAGGCAGATTTCACAATGGACCCAAATGCATCAACAAAAGACCAGAATAGCTTCAAACACCAGGTGGTGGAGTTCTCATATTAGGTGCTATTATGGGATCATTCTACTTTCACAAAATTTGTTTTTCAGATGAGGTCTTCAACATTCTATTAAAAAGAGAACTAATTTTTTTTTTGAGGTGAAGTCTTCATTTGATTTTCGGTTTGCTACTACTATTCGAGCCATTTCCCATGGTATATGTATAAAAGAAAACCTTTTTCTCTACTCACAACACTTCTGGCAGTAAATGTGTGGGATTTCTACACTGAGCAATTTTCCAGTTTTCTGTAGACACCCACTGGGTGTCCTACAATTTAATTGAGTTCTGTCTCTAATTTCCCAGAGTGAGCGCAGAGCCCCCCAGGTTAAGGGCTCAGTCCCATGAGATTGTCCCCACTTCAGACGCCAATTGCAAATAGTGGGTTACTAGGGTACCCACACTTCTGTCCAACTCAGCTACAAATTTGTGTTTCTCACAACCCATTCCTTAAGTTGCATAATTCGTTAGAAAAAAATCATAGAACTCGGGGAAACACTTTACTTACTGGTTTATTATAAACGATATTATAAAGAATACGATATATTATAAGGAACAGCCAGATGAAGAAGTACGTAGGAGGAGGTTTGGAATGGTCCCAAGCACAGGAGCTTCTGTCCCTGTGGGAGCTGGGGTGCGCCACCCTCCTGGCATGTAGATGTATTCACAAACTAGAAGCTTTCTGAACCCCATCATTTAGCATTTTGATGGAGGTTCCATTAGGTAGACATGATTGGTTAAGTGATTGGCTATTGGTGATTAACTCAATCTCTAGCCCCTCTTGCCTCCATGGAGGTCAGGGGCCGGGCAATGGGGCTGAAAGTTCCAACCCTCTAACCCTGCATTGGTCTTTCTGGCCACAAGCCCCCATCCTGAAGCTATCTTGGGACCCCAGCACCTGTCATCTCATTACCATACAAAGAGACACTCTTATCCCTCCAGAGATTCAGAGAGGCTTAGAAGCTCTTGTGTCAGGAACCAGAGGCTGAGATCAGATATTATAACAAGAGATACTCTTAGCACTGCCAACACTCAGGAAATTATGAGGGTTTTAAGGACTCTGTGTCAGGAACCAGGGGGCAGGGGCCACATATATATTTCTTATTAAGTTGCAATGAATATAATCTGAAAAATCATAATTTTACTTTTCTTTCCCTCTTCAACTTTTTTCCTTTTTTATTTTTCTTTATTTTTCCTTCACTTTCTCTGTCCTGTCCTGAATGTTCATGATGCCTGTAGAATTACAGATTGATAAAATAATAAATACTTTTTGGCAGATTATTGGATTTGGTCTACCAGTCAAATTGTTTTTCAGAAATTTATTTAATATCAATGTATTTTGGAAATCAAAAGTGACTGTTTCCTTCAGGTTTATTCTTCAGTTTGGGTGTAATCTTTTGGGCCAGGATTCTGTGATGGTTCATTGGATTTTAGAACTAAAACAGGTGCTCAGAAAACTCTTTCTGATTCCTGACTGAACTAATATCTCTGAAATCTTCTTTATTGTAGATTCTTCTTATGGTTCCAGTTTTTTAACAGTAAGTATCTTAAAAAAAGTTTGAAACTCAATCTTCAGGGACTAATTATTTAATTATGAAACACTGGTTTTAAATTTAATAATTTGTTCAAACCCTTCTTTCTAATGATTTGATTTTTGAAAACACTATGTAGAAGCTGTGTTTGAGACAGCCAGAATTGCTCATGAGGTGGATTGAAAGGCAAGTTTTAATTTTCTCGAGTAAAGGCTCTGGGTCTAGAAGAAGCAGAAGGTGGACATTGAGGCCCGAGGCTGGTGGGTGACCCAGAGTGAGTGGCTTTATAAGACGGGCTTGGAGTCCATCTGATCTTATTAGGTCTGAGGTTCATGTGTTTGGCACGTAACTTTGACTCACTTTAGGCACATAGCCTTCAATTCAGGCACTAGTTATCAACAGGGAGACATTTTGCTCTCCATGGGACATTTGACAATGTCTGGACACATTTTTGGTTGTCACACTTGGGGTGGGGCACGGCTGGCTTCCATTGGGTGGAGGCCAGAGACGCCACTAACCGTCCTGTAATGCACAGAGCAGCCCAATTATCTGATGTGCTGATGCTGAGAAACACCAAGCTAAGGTGGGAATCTCATCCATATTGGAAATTCTTCCCCTTGCTCAGACTGCCCCAGCAGCCTGAGTACACAGGCTTTGTCAGCAACATTGTGCTGACGGTGGCACATGTGCCTGGAGCTGTCTAGTTCTAAGAAGGATTTAGATAGTTTAAAAAATAATATGTATGTGGTGAAACCATTAGGAGAAAAGTAAAAGAACCAGGGCCAACTAATGAATTGGAATATGGAGTAGGATCGTCAGTGTGTCCATCTAATAATTATATCAGCCAAGTAGAATCATGGAAAAGATGGTGACTGAACACCCATCTTAACTTTGAGCGTTCTGATGTACCAGGTCAAAAGGAAAATATTGTGGGTCACACATGTTGAGTGTTACAAATAACTGAAGGACTTAAAATTAAAAATAGAGTAAAGTACCATTTTCAATGATTAAATCAGCATTTTTTAAAGAAAATTATGATACTCAGTGCTTGTGATGTTGCAGTCCTTTGGTATAATCATACATGGTTTGTGGCAATAAAAATTAATACGATAACTTTGGAAAAGCAACTTGATATCTCCTGTCCCAGTAATTTTTGTCACAATTTACCTTATTTATAATGCAAAAGAAATAAAAAGCTATATGTCTGTATAAAGATGTTCATTTATAATAACAGATAACTTTAACATTCAAAAGTAGGTTAGGTAAATGTTGATAACCTAACGTAATACAGTCACTTAATAAATATGGCACATGGAAAATGATTATGTTATTATGTCAAGTGTAAAAAGCAAAGGACAGCATCATATGTACAGTATGACTAAGACGTACTAGAATTTAGGCACATGCACAATGAACTGAAGAAGAGTGGCCACGGGAGAGCAGTCTTTTTTATGATGAAAGAATTCTAGGTAAATTTTCCATTATACAGAATTCTGGTAATGATGTTATACTGTTTGGTTTTTATTTAGAGTGAAATAGTCATTCGACTATTCTGAGCAGAGAAATGACGAGACCTGAATTATGTTTTCAGAGGATCTTTTTGGCCGTTGTGCTGAGCATAGACTGGTGGGAGCCTGGGTGGGATTGTGAGGCCAGTTAGGTCATCAATACACTCAGCCCAACAATGGGTGATGGTGGCATGGAGAAGCAAGGTAGTGACAGAGGTAGGGAGAAACGGTGGAATTCACGACATATTCTGAAGGTAGAACCAGTTGAATCTGTTGATAAATATGATGAAGGTTATAAGAGAAAGGCAGGAGTCATGGATGACTCTTAAGTGTTTTCACCTTATCAATAGAAATATGCAGTGGCCATTCACTGAGGTGGGGGAAAGATTGGAGCAGGTTTTCCTTCCGTGTGTGTGGGAGGTGGCAGGGTGGGGATGGGGGGAATAAGGAGTCTGATTTGGGGCCATGTGAATAAGACAACCCAGGGACCTGTCAAGGAGACAGTGGGAGACACCAGTTTGGGGTTGAGGCAAATGGTCTTGGCTGGATATGTACATTTGGAAGGTGCTGGGGCATAGATGATATCTGAAGGTGATCAAGGGAGAGAATGTAGACAGAGGAAAGAAAGGCGGAGGGCTCAACACTGTGCACTCACATTCAGAAAAGCAGCAAAGAAGGCTGAGAAGGCATGTCAGACAAGCAGGGAGCAGCAGAGTGGCGTGTCACGGAAGCCAAGGGAAGCTGTCTTCAAGGGGAAGGGATGATCCTCTGTCTCACATGCTGCTGGTAGATCAGGCAAGAAGAAGACGGAGACGTGGCGCCTGGAAGTCGCAGCGTTCAGGTCATCGGTGATGTGGCAAGAAGGGCTTTGGTGGAGTGGGAAGGATGAAAGCCTGAGCCATGGGGTGCTGCAGATGCCGTGACACCCTGTTCACATCCCCTTGGCCCTCTAATTTCACCCCCTCTGAGGTGGGAGTTCCCTGAGAGCTCAGGCTCTCGGTCATGGCATCCCCCATCAGGCGCGTACTGAGAGTATTTTGCTGTTTGCAACTGCTCCTTCTCTGAGGAAAGCTCTGCCTGAGAGGACAGGGGCATTAATGTGCCCGAGCAACTCATGCTGAAAGTCCTTGTCCTGGAAAACACCTCAGTCCTGGGAAATCTGGGAGGGTTGGTCACCTTGCCCCCAGCAATGGTCAAATCTGGGCAGCATCTTGTAGTTCTTGAGGGACTCTGAGGATTCAAGACAGCATGGTCTACACAGGACCTGATATCACATCTTGAAGTGGCTTTTCTTCTTTCCTGTCTCCTTCTTCCCACTACCTCACCCCCTCTTCTGGGATCATCTCCCGGACAAGCTACCTGCACACAAGGCCTTGTCTCAGGGGAACCTAAACCAGGAAGGAGATATAGACCTTCCATCTATCCTTCCCTCCTTCCCTCCTTCCTTCCTTCCTTCCTTCCTTCCTTCCTTCCTTCCTTCCTTCCTTCCTTCCTTCCTT